ATGATGTAAGTACAACCCAGGATCTGCTTGCCACTGGCCAGCGGTCTGACTCCCGGGCTATTTCAGCCCCCGCTTTCCGTTCACTGTGGACTGGGGTGGGGGGAGGAGGGGAGAGAGGGGCGGCGGGGGAGCCCTCATTGTAGAATCGGTTGCACAAATCGCAACCCCGGGTCCGAGTCCTGGTTCCTAGATGCCCCTGTTGATCTGTTCAGCAGAGACCCTCGTATTAGATTGCTGGGAAATGGAAATATATGAACAGAAACCTCCTCTTGTTTAGAGTCCATCAGTGTTGCTGGCATGCGTTTTAATTCTACCCACTTGCACATCATCCCTATTTGTACACTGTTTTGGGTTCATCTTCCCTTCTTGAAAACAAAGATGAAGGGAGAGAGAGGGTACAAGTGGAAAGAATCGGGGAGGATTTTTGAGTTGTACAAACTGTCACTTCACGGTATTTTTTTCTTATTAAAATGTAAAACTTTTATAAGTCATCAATTTTATGTCTGTATCCCAGCTCCTCCCCCTAGATTTTTTTTTGTGGAGTCTTAATGTCCTACTCAACCTGCAGCATTGGGGCTGGAGGAGCGGATGCAACCATTCACAGTAGAGTCTAGGCAACCATTCACCACGCACGCTCTTGCTTTCCGAGCGGATTCGGGATCTTGCTAGCAGGCCGAATTTACCCAGCCAGTGTGTCAACTGAGTCAAAGTTTTGAAAATATGAACCAATTTGCGGTTTAATTGTGAAAATTAACATTTTCCTCTTGCCGGCTGAACACTTAGGCGGCAATAAAAAAGTGAATTGTTAGGCTTATAAATCTTGAACTTGTCAAATTTTACAACAGAGGAGCAATAAAGCACCTTAGAAGAAATGAAGTTTTTCCTCTAGAGCAGTTCCACTTCACACCAGGATTTGCAGCGACTGGAGGGCGCCCTCTATTGATAAAAAAAAATCAAGAGCACCCATGTACTTAAGGACAGGATGGGGTCCGGGTGGGGGGAGGGAATAAAGGTAGGAGGGAAAGTCATAGAAATCACCAGGGGTGAAAAGACAAACTAAACTGAATTTGATCCTTATCTCTTGGTTGTGTGTTTTGAAGTATGTTCAATTCAGTGGGATGCTTCTTTATAGCGGTGGAATTAAATCTTATGTTAAAGAAAAAGAAACATTTTAACTCTTAATTTTTTTTACCAAAATAATTTGAAAAGGTGTTTACATTTTATTACTTTTAAAAGATGTTTACCAAAATTTCATTAATTTTATTTCATTAATAATGTCATAATTGCAAGAGAGTCCATTTTTGCCTAATAGTATTTACCCTATAGTATTATCTAAAAATCGTATCAGCTAACTCCCCCCCAAAAAAAGTCATGTCTCCAGTCAACGGTGAAACTATTATCTAGCATATTGTGGACGTATGCAAGGCTTGGAGTATATCACGGGCAATGAAAGGTGTGTTTACCTCTTGTGTCATCATAGTATGCAATAGGTAATGAAAAGTTACAGTAAAATGATAGGCATCCTTTATTAGGGATCTAGTGGTTTGTTCAATTCGCAATGGGTCTAATAAGTAAGCTGGGGTGATGGGTTTGCCCTCAATTATCCTTGGTCCACTGATTTGCACATTGTTACATGTGGAATATTTACATGTCCGCGGTTGATAAGCAATCCCTATTTAGAGATCATGAGCAAATGTAGCAAATAGAGTTGCCTACTGCGACTTGGATATACTGTGAGTGAATTCAGAAAGGCAGCCCTGAGCTATCTGGGGAAAGGCAAAGGCGAGGACAGTAGGAAGTGGCTCCCAGACTTTGAGGCCATTCTAGAGATTAGATACCACTTCACACCTACTGATAACAAGTTAGGACCTATTTTCAACCCCTTTTCTGATCATTAGCTTTTCTCCTCCTTTCTTGACCTCCTTTCAATTGCAAAAGTAGAAACTGAACTGTCATTTAATTAGTCTATGAATTTGTGGAAAAGCCACTAAGCAACAGCAAATGATGGCGTAATTACTCTGCGCTGCGTTAAAGGCTGGCTATCGTCATTAATCTAATTACACTGTAAAGTGTAATCGAACACGTCCAAGTTCTCCAACTCTCAGACCCCACCCAGCCGCTTTCAGGGAGAGAAATGTCAAAGGCAGACCAATACTGGAGCCACGCACTGCTGCCTGGCACCTTCCCAGTCCATCCGATCCGTTCCGACCCGCGGATCACTTTCTGATTTGCAAAGTGGCTGGATGCTAGCCTTCCCCGCAATAGGTTCGAAACGCGGTCCTGCAGAGGTGATTAGGAGCGAAGGAATTTGCCACTTGGCGCTGGATAAAAAGCGCCCTCTTTTCCTCCAAAGAGCTGGAGGTGGAAGGCAGAGTGGGGTGATTAAAAAAAAAAAGAAGAAGAAAAAAATAACTTAGGAGTGAAGTTGAACTCAATAACATTCATTCAAGGAGCCGGTCAAAGGCCGGTTCCTTTGTAACGGCGGCCAGAGAGAGCGGCTGCCGCCTCTTCCTACTGGATTCGGGGACACAGTACATCGCGGCAGGGCGGACGGGAAGAGGAAAGAGAGCGGGGAAGAGGCCGGGCCGCCCGGGCGCGGTAGACGGGAGGCGCAGCGGGCGGGCGCGGAGCTCACACTGAACCGCACGAGGCAGGAGGCGGCGTGGAGGGGGCGGGCGCTCTGGGCCCTGCAAGCAGCGGGCTGGGTCCAGCGGACTTGCGCTCGCAGCCAATGGGATAGGAGGGCGGGGGTGGAGACGGCGCGGATTGGCTGGCGCGGGGAAGGCGGGGCCGCAGTGAGGGGCTGAGATTGATGGGTCCGGGCGCCGCCGCGTAGAGATCCGGGCGGCAGGCCGCTGCTCGCCGTGGCTGGGTGCGCCTCCTGCCGGCCCACGCCCGCGCTCCACGCCCGCGGAGCCCACGCTGGCCCGGGCCGGGCGCTCGCGCTCTCGGGGCCGGACTCCGCACTCGCTCACGGTCTTTGTGTCTTCTCTCCTCCCGCTCCCGCTCCGTCCGGCCGCCGCTGCGATGCCGCTGCGCCCCGTCGTCGCCGCCGCCTTCTCGCTCCGCCCGCGGCGCGCTGCTCGCTGCTCCGGCGGTGGCGGCGGCCCTTCCCCGACGCGGGCCTGAAGGAGGAAGAAGAGGAAGCGAGGCGCGTCCCCCGGCCCATGCCGCAGCCACGGCCCCGGCCCCGCCACGGCGCCCGCACCGCCGCCCTCGCCGGAGCCCACGGGACCTGCATGGACGGGCATGGGCTGGAGAGCAGCACCTTCCTGCGCCGCCGCCGCCGCCGCCGCCGCCGCCGGGGCTGAGCAGCGCCGCCGCCCCCGGCCCTGCCCGCCGCCCCCGGCGCCGCTGCTGCCGCTGCTGCTGCTCAGCCTCGGGCTGCTCCCCGCAGGTACGAGCGCGTGCGCGCGGGCCCGGCCGCAGGGCCGAGCGCTTTGTTCCCGGCCCCGGGTTCCGAGGCGCCGGCCGGGGCGGGGGCGGCGGGCGGGCCGGGCGAGGCCTCGCGGGCCCCGGACGGGCACGTTGGCCGGGCTGGCGGCGCCGCCGCGGGGACACACACACCCGGGGCGCCGGGGAGGCCTCTTCCCCCTCTCTCCCCCCATCCCTCCGGGCCTCCCGGCCCCAGGCTCGGGCCGCGGGTGAATCTCCCCTCCAACAGCCGCCTGTCGGAGGGGTAGGGGGCGGGCTGCCGCCCGGGACAAACGCTGCGGAGGCTTTATTGCTCCCCGCGCGGGTGTTTACCGAAAGGAGCGGGATCAGGTTTCCGCGCCGCCGCCGCCGCCGCGGGGAGACAAGGAGCCTTGTGCTGCCGCTGCCCTGGGGTGGGGGTGGCGGCGGCGCGGCGCAGAAATCGCACCAGATGGAAAGATTTCCACCCGCGTTTGTTCACTGGAGGTTGATGTCGAAGTAACTCAACATTTCTGCAAACAAGGGGTTTCTCTCGTGTGTGCGAAAGCTGCTTTCCATCCAGCTTTCCGTCTCTTTGGGAAAGAAAACTCGTGCTTCGTGGCTGGCTGGCTGGCTGGCTGGCTGGCTGCGTGTGCAGGAGGGGTTGGCTGACAGATCCGCTGCCTTCTGGAGGCCGGTGCTGCTTCCCCCGTGGAAGCAGCGGTGAGGAGCCTGTGATACTATGTGTCTGTTTAAAATACTCTCGCTGACACAATGTTAAAGTCTCAAACTTTCTCAATAAAACGGGGGAGGGGGTGTGAATATCTAGGATGCTCTTTGCAAACTAAGACCACTTCTAGGAGTTAGTCTAGACAAGTTTTTAAGTGCGAAATTGAAATAAATTGATTTTTTTAGTTGGAGAACTGTTTGTCGTTAGATATGTTCCCCCCCCCCCCGCTCCCCCTCCCCCGCATCTTTTTGGTCCTGTATTTGTATGATAGTAGCCACAAGGCTCAGATCTGGAGAACCCTGAACTTTAAAGCCACCCAAATGTGGGGGGTGGGGGGTAGCGGGGAAGGGTAATTTTTATTAAGTCATACCAGCCGGTGCTAAAAACCCTGGAGGTCTTCTAAGTAATGGGGGGGGGAGGGGGATGTGGCATTTGAGGAGAGGGGCTTAATTTACTTTGTGTAACTTTGCATTGTGATGGAACAGCAGCTGCATTTTAAGTGTCACTTGGGAAAACAAACTGAAATCTTACTGAAGAATGTAGTGATTAAGCCTTTCAATTAGTGACTTTTAGAACTTTGGAAAGTAATGTCAATCTGCTTAACAGTTACATGGAAAAAATTTCATGACAAGTCAAAAGATATAGTCGGGGTGGTTCTGTGTGGGGGGAAAATGTGTCTATAATGTTCAGGCGTGGGCTTTTTGAAATGGAAATTGGATTTGCTGGGTGGGACTGTGTGTCCCTCTTGTCCGCTGGGATATTGTTCCCCTTGGTTGCTGTAGGGTCCCATGACAGGATTGGAATGTGGTCTTTGAGGATTTCTTTGCTGGCCCATGAAAGACCTAAGGAGTTGGTTTTAAAGGTTTAGAAAATTGTGGTGCCTTCGTTCAAGAACTAGAAATGTGAAACTCCTCTCAGTATCTTACTATGCCCTGGCTAAAGTCACCATCAGATTCTACCCAGAATTGCTGTGGTGAGTGATTTCTGCGGACAGCTTGTCGGGAGTGGAGCAATTAATCTGGCTATAGAAAGGAGGCTCCTTTTGAGAGATTTCTTTGAAGAGCGGTGCCATTGAAATGCAGGGGCAGTTTCTCAGAGCAGGGAGCCTAGCAAAGTGCTCTCTGCAGATGGGCCACCATATGTTTTGTGCCTGGATCCATATAATTTGCCTCAGCGCCCCATATGGCTCCATATTTCACTTAATTCAGCCTCAGCATATCTCGTTTCTTTTATTATAAACTGGTGATTGTGCTGCAGATTCACACGTGCAGTCCTGGCATTGAGGAAGCTGTTTTAAATGGTGAGGTCTTTATGTCTGAATCATTAAGGAGAGAGCTCTACGCCTGAGAATCCTTCCATTAACTAGAAGGAAAATGCTGTCACACTGACCACAGATGATCTGACTCAAGGAAACAGACACCTGTAACGGCAGGTTTTGAACTCTGCCCTTAATAAATAAAAAAAAAGGGTGCTTTTATTTGCCTTTTCTTCTCTTAAGCAAACCTCGGCAGTTCCTGACTGGCGATCCAGTATGGGAGATCCTTGCTTACTCATACACCTCATGGCCTTCTTGGCTACATCCTTGAGGTTGTTTCTGCCCGGCATTGTCTTGGCATTTTGACAGGAGGCTTACTTACCGCCTGCAACAGGCAAAGTGTGCATTGTCATTATAAATTCATGAAGCCTGGATATTTTTGGGTGTATGCTGCAAATTAGTCATTCTAAAGGAGCCTGCCATGAGGCTGAAACTGCTGACCCAAATGCACTCTCACTCTCATTAGCTTTTCTCCCTCCAATCATCTCCACTCCGAAAGGCTGTTAGAAACCTCATCCAAACAAAAGAGCTCAAAGAGTTCTGTGTTATGTGAGATTTCTCAGAGGAATCAGCACCTGCCTGCTAGGAAGAAGGAATGAGGAAGGAACGGAAAGAGGAGCTGGCATCTAAATGCTGCTGCTTTCCCCTTCCCAACAATTGCATCTGCATTGCCATGCTCTTCTGACTTTTGATATTTTATGACTATCTGAAATAATTATAAGTAAATGTACGCTCAGATATATTTTATAGACCATAAAAAGAACAAATAGGCACTGCCAGTTTAGCGGAAAGTTCTTGTGCTGTCACTTATTTGTAGTCTCAGGGCTCTTCTTTGCTGAGTGATTTGGGCCCAGTTTTTATTTCCTTTCTGCTTGCTGTGAAAATGATTTAAAAGGGGAAAATGTGATACTGTAGTTACTTAAACCTTTTTTCTTCCTTTCTTTTCTTTCTTTTTTTTTTTTTTTTTTTAAGCTATCAAGTACCATTTTGAGAGTCAGGAATATAGGGGACCTGGTATGTGAAAAGGAAAATGGGATTGGAGGAAAGGCCCACTTCCTGGGCTTCATATTGCTGTGTATGCTCTGCCAAGACAAGGCCTTCACTTAAAATCCTTGGTTTTCCCATCTGTTAAATGGCTTTAATGGCTTTGGAGTGTTTTGTTTGATTGATTTTTTTTTTAATTTTGCTTTTTTTTTGGGGGGGGGGTGAGTAAAAGTAGTTGAAAAATGACTTGTTCTACTTTGGAGAGAGGAATTCTATAAATATCAGCTGCTTTTGCTAACTTTGCAATGAGCAAACATAAAATAGGCCAGACACAAGATGTCTTTGTGATTAATATTTTATTTTTTTTAACTCAAGTTAAAATGACTATCCAATCAAGACTATCACATTTTTCTTTTTGGACTTTGAAATGTAAGAAAATGGGGAGATATCTTGAGAAGTGGTCATCTCCTACCCTTTTCTCTGCAGCTGAAGCCAAACACAGATTACAGGCTGTTTAATTTGGATGTAAAAGCAGTTTACTACTGAAAAGATTAAAAAATATCTTTAAATAATCTTTATTTAAAAACATTTTTAGTAAGTCTTTATCAGATGAAGTCCTAAATCTTGATATTATCCTGAACTTTGGTATGCTTATATCTTTAATTACATATCTAACAGCACTCTATTGACTGTTTCCTCCCACCTAGAATAAGATATTTTATGCCTGAAAAAGGTCACAAAGTGCATTTTAGAGCAACCTCCTCATTTCTCAGATGGGGAATGTTAGACGAGAGGAGATGGAGACTTGCTCCATTGTTCAGAGGCCTATAAAGAATGTGTAACACAAATACTGTTGCAGTTCCTGTCTATAAAGTTTAAGGTGGATGGCAAAGGAAAGAATTTCTCTTTTCAGTAATTCTAGTGTCCCACTTTATGGAGCAGAATAAAAACAAACAAACTGGTGCACGTGACTGACCTAGCATTGGCACTTCTTGAGATTTTTGTGCTTTGAGAGGTTTTATAAATTTTTATGTGAGGAACTAGTGGCAAATCATCATTTGAAAATTGACTTTTTAAAATAGTAGGGCAGTAATACTTGGTTTTCCATTACTTCATTTCATCACTTTGCTGGAGCCATTAAGTTTATATGAATTGTTGATTTAAGGAGAAAATCATTCAGATAACTCTAAGAATTCTGTTGTGTTTAAGGGGGGGGGGGGGGAGGAAACATAGTTGGAAACATCTGTTTCTGCAGTGTGATTTCAGTGTCCTTTTTGTTTAGTGTACTTTTCCTGGTGGAACTGTTTGGGAGCTGGGATCCCAGGGTGATGAATGTCAAGGGAGAAGTGAATACATAGCTTGGTTAAATGTATCTCTATTTTTTTAAGAGAACATTTATACTTTGTGAAAACCAGGAGATTAAGTGACAGATGGTAAAACAATTTGTTGATAAACCTATCAGGAAATGCAGAATAATTTAGTGCCTGGATTTTTTTTTTCTTCTTCTTCTTCTTGTTATTTCACTGTTAGCTGTACTAGAATCAGGTAAAGATGTTTTAGCCAATCATGCTATAATGTAGGGGTTTCCCCTACCTGAGTTGTGGAAGTTTTAATTGTGGTTTTGTGCACAGACAGTGCTTCCCAAAGCAAATTACTTATGCAGTTTTCAAAATCAAAACAAAGTTCACATCTTTTGCTTGGCCTTAGAGCAAAGGAATCTTTCTCAAAATCTATAAACAACAGCAAAGTTGGTAAAATTGTCATGTACAATGGCCGATGCTGTAAAGTTTTAAGTTAACTTAACTGCATGCAGTTTTTCTCCCAGTGGCTTAATTTGTGAGACACAGAAGCACAATGCAACCCTATTTCTGAAAGCCTTCTTAAAATAGGAGGATATGAAATAGAACAGTCCCCAGAGGAGAATGTCATTTTCTCATGTAGCTCAGGAAGTTATGAAGCATTTTAAAAATGTGTGGTCTTACCTTCTTTCCCACAGGTAACTGCCAACAACCAGCCCAGTGTCGAATCCAGAAATGTACCACAGACTTTGTGTCCCTGACTTCACACCTGAACTCTGCCATTGACGGCTTTGACTCCGAGTTCTGCAAGGCCCTGCGTGCCTATGCTGGCTGCACCCAGCGAACTTCAAAAGCCTGCCGTGGCAACCTGGTATACCATTCTGCTGTGCTGGGTATCAGCGACCTCATGAGCCAGAGGAACTGTTCCAAGGACGGACCCACATCTTCTACCAACCCTGAAGTGACCCATGACCCTTGTAACTATCACAGCCACACGGGAGTCAGAGAACTCAAGGGAGGGGACCAGAACCCTCCTAATTACCTTTTCTGTGGCTTGTTTGGAGATCCCCACCTTAGAACTTTCAAGGATCACTTCCAGACGTGCAAAGTGGAAGGAGCCTGGCCACTCATAGATAATAATTACCTTTCGGTTCAAGTGACGAATGTGCCCGTGGTCCTTGGATCCAGTGCTACTGCTACAAATAAGGCAAGTATACTTTTTTCTTCTTCTTCTTACTTAGACCTTTCAGGTGTCTGACTCTTAAGACAACCTGGGAAAATTGAAAAGGAACTTTGGTCTTCTTGGCAAGCAGTGTTAGGGTGAATGAAGGATTAAATGAAAATTAGCAAGGAGTTTCTTGGTGAAATTCTAGGGCTTATGAAAAATGTGTGTGTGAATTTGAATAGGCAATGATACAAAAAATAAAAAGTGAATGGTAATGTTGGATTCTCTTGGGGAAAGGCAGGCCTGTTGAATGAAAAATTGCTTTTTTTCAGTGATGTCTTTTTTAAGTGCATTTATGTATGACTCGAGGATTTCCATATTTAGATTTATCAGATTTGACTGATGTAGGTTTTCTGAATAAAGAAAGCTGTGATGCCTGAGGACAATAACCCATCAGGAAATATATTTTATTGGAAATTTGGAAATTCTGGTAAAAGGTAATGATTATAAGCCAGCTTCCCAATGGCAAACCTGAAAGTGTTAGTCACTGTCCTGTGGTGAACAAGGAAATAAGAATTGGATATTGTAGAGTAGTGATGTATAATCGCAGGATAACAATTTTAGTGAGAAGCTGAGAGGAAAATTGGCAAAATTAAGTTAAGCTTGCCCTGCCTAGCTGCCAGTTTTGTAGTTCTTGTTGCTTGGTTGGTTTTAAAGAAACTAATACTGAATCCTCTAAATCAACTTTAAGGCGTCAATATCTTAGTGCAACGATTTTCAACCTTTTTCATCTTGTGGCACACAAAGTAACTACTAAAATTCTGTAGCACCCCTTGCTGATCTCACACACACACACACACACACGTATAATTTTGATTCATTTACACCCAATGGCTGTTCTGTTGGCTGTTGTCATTTTTTTTTAAGTCAGGTATTGCATGTTTTAAAAATTCTTGCCCTGGCTAGTGTGGTTCAGTTGGTTGAGTGTTATCCCATGCACTGAAAGATCACAGGTTTGATTCCAGGTCAGGGAACATATCCAGGTTGCAGGTTGCTGGGGTGCTTATGGGAAGCAGCTGATCCATGTTCCACTCTCACATTGCATATTGTCTGTCTCTCTCTCTCTCTCTCTCTCTCTCTCTCTCAAATAAAAAATATAAGAAAAACATTCTTGATAAGTGCATGTAGTACATGCTAGGAACTAATTGGGTTTTCAATCGCCAGTCGGCACTAATTCATTCACTAGTAAATAAAGAGGTCGCAAGGATTTTCCATAATAATAGTGTCCCAAGTAAGCAGCGCCTTCCCTTTCTCCCCAACCACAAAATCACACATGTAGACTATCATCTTGCTTAATTTCCTTTATTTATTTTGTCTATTCATCAGTTGGCTTATACTAAAATATAATTGACAAGGATCAATCTTCTGTAATACTTATGACTTTCCTTTTGATTCTAGGATACCCTCCCTTGCCTCCAAACCTGTGCGGTATATTTTTAAAGTGAATTTTAATTATTTTACTTGGCATTTTGTGGAGGGAGTTTGTAACACCTCCAGAGATTTCTGGAGACACCCAGGGGTGTCACATATCTGAGATTAGAAGTCATTGCTCTGAACAAAGTCTATTACAGTGGTGCAGACATCTTAGGGGAACTGAAAAATGTTTACACTTCAGTCCCAGTACAAGCCCAAGCTGGCCTTTCCAAATCCTACATCTCAAATAAACTTTCCTTTTCTGGTTTTTATAAGTGTGCAAATTTTTATATCTGTACATTAAAATATGTACTTGCTATGTTTTGATGTAAAGTTATATAATTATGAAGTTTTAGGACAAGCCATGGCCAAAAATCCATCATTGAAGCAGTCAGGTCACAGAGCTTGAGATTAAGTCTTTGGGAAAACATAACACTGGAAATTCAAGAAGGCCGTTCCATGGGGAATGGGGAAAATCAGCAACGATTGTGCAAATACTTGAGGACTTAGAGAGGTGGTGGTCTTTAAACAATACTATCGAGATTTATAAGTGCTATGTGCATGGGAAAATGTTGGTTCAGTGGAATTGTTGACACTGAATTGCTTTGTTTAGATAATTCCATTTCAGTTGTGGTTGAGCCTATCATAGTTTTTAGCAAATAAGCAAGTAAAAGGTACACCGTTTTATCTCTTACAGTTTGTTAAGGATCAAAGGTTTTATCCATTCTAAAGAAATGAGGTTGGGGGTCTTGTCTTGACATAAATTCAGGCCAATGATGAGAATGCTTGGTCTTTAATTGCACTATTGGAAAGTATTTCCCCACATCTGGTTACCATGCTGTTCAACAAATTATTCTATGGCTTCACGACCTCTAGTAGTTGGTTCCCCCCCCCCCCCCCCCTTTTAGTTGTAACTCTCTCCAAAGCCCCCAGAAGCATCTGGAAGGTTACTGTTGAAGGTCTCTCTCAATGCTGGTTTGACCTCTGCTGATGAAAATAAGAGAAGACCTAAAATTTTGCAATACAATTTCCTTTTATCTACCCAGGGCCAAAATAAAACCTATTAAAAAAGCCTAAGCAATGAAAAAAGGATGGTAATAAAAGTAAAAACATTATGAGGCAAAAAGTACTTATGAAATAAGTTCAAAAAAGAATGTTTTTTTCCCCTTGATGTCTATGCAATAGTATAAAAATAAAAAATAAAAAAAAAACTTTCAGAAGATTTTTTTTTACCAAAGCTTTGTACACATACGTAGACCAGCTATTGGATAACCTAGCACTGCATTTTGCAGGTACTGTGTCATCCTTGTGGTCAAGTGTTTTTAATGACCCATGTATTAATACTTAGTGTCATTAGCTTTAAGACTGACCAATGTTATTTATGAAATTAAGCATCTGCTTATTTCCCTGCCTTCAGCACTGAACTCAAGCACTAGACCTGGGTATTTGGGAAGTAAGATCCCTAAAACAATTCTTTATCCTGGAACCAGGCTTCTTGAGCAAGCACTTTCAAGCTTTGCTTTGTGAGCTCTACCTGACCTTCAATGCCCACTTTTCTTATCACAAAAATACAAAACTTAGTTGGGGAATATGTAAACAACAAAATGAAAGAAAAGTGAAGTACTCCAGGGACCATTTACTAGCCATTCTTTCCCCCTTTCCACATGCAGGCAGTGAGCTCAGGGCAGCTGGGCCTGCAGTGCTGGACAGTGCGGCCCGGTCTCCCCATTTGTCACGGTGAGTGCAGGTGTGCTTTCTCAGGGCCTCCAGGGTTTTATGTCCTCTGCCAGCCTGCGAGCCTCCCTCTCTGGAGCAGACTGTGTGCTTGGCCATCTTGCCAGGCAGGAGTGTTCCGAGGCCAGGGCTGGTTTTTCATCTCTCCACCCCTTGGGGCTGCAGGGGTTTCTGGCACAGCTACACACCTGGGCTGAGATCCACATCAGCTCTGGGCCATCTTCCCCACCTTTGGCTTGGAGAGGCGGCGCTTCAGACCTGCACTGGGGGAGAGATGAGAGGACAAGCTCAGAACTGGCAGGGTTGGTTACTTGGGAAAGAGAAGCAGTTTTTGTTTGGGGGGAGGAGTAGTTCACACTAGGCTCTGGGCGGACATACCAATGAATAAACAGGTTATCTGCGGAAGTGCTTGACTCTTATACCTTCTCTTCCACATTCCCCTGGCCAGTCCCTCAGTCTCAACTCCTGTGTGCTTCTCTGTATCTCTGTTTAAGTGGGCGCAATAAAGATTTGTATATGCTGTGATTCTAGAAAGTGATTTTGATACAAATTATTTTATGAAAGGATCTGTATTTTGCAAATATGCTATATTCCTAATAGCTTATAGTATTAAAATCACAGTTCTGAAAAAAATCAGTTCCAGAGGTGCATTTAAAATTACTCCTTTTCAAAAAAGTTTCAGGTATACATTTATTACACACCTAAACAATGGTGTTATTTTTAAAAATTATTTTTTAAAAGTAATTTAGATACTTTTGCATTACTTTTTCTTTTTCTTTTATTGCATGTCCTTTCCCATCTCTTTAGCTTTTTTATCCTCCAATTTCATTGAGACAGAATTACAAATGTTGGGGGTGGTAAGCTAGAGATGACAGATTTTCCTGTGCTTCATCCTTCAGTGAGAGAAGGTGGTTTACCATAAGGCAGTTTGCATTTGGGAAAGAGTTGTGTTCTTTGCGCTTGACCAAGCCAGGTAATTGTTGGCCAGGTGAGTGGACACTGAGGTGCTTCAGATGTTCTTGCTGTCACCACGGGCCACCAGCTTCAAGTTATCCTCATGGACAGTAGCACTCAACTACCCAAAGCATGAAAAGAGATCCTTACCCTTCAAGTTTCTCTCTATATATATATTTAAAAGTTCCTAATTATCCCTAATTCTTAAACTCTTTCTAGAAATAATGAAAGCTTTCACTGGGATGCTGATGGGAGATATAGGAAGACTTAGTTCTTTTGGTTCATTCTTGCTTACTATGTACTTCAAACTGTAAACCCAACATGTTCCCTTATTTGCTTGTAGGGTTCTAGAGCATGCATTGGGTCCTCTCTTTCTTTCTGGTGTCTCTTTGCATGTAGCTGGCATATAAACCTGTATATGGCATGTAAACCTGTTGTGGATCATTCTGTTGGTTACAAAATCAGAGAGTTATGTGCCTGCATTACGAAGTCTTTCCGCTGTCATCTTAAGCATATCTCTGGATCAACGTTTGGAAATCTGTTCTCTCTTGACCCGAGGCATAGGGCATTGTTTTTGGAGCCAAGTTTCTGTAACCCATCAGTTTTTTGTATCTTCACGGATAGATGCAGTGTGAGCTACACTGTGGACTAAGGTAGATGCTGCATCCTCCCGTCAGCAGGAGTGTTTTAAATATATGAACACTGTTCTTGCATGCAAGGGGACATTTTCTTTCCTTCCAAAGAGCACAACTGCTTTGCAGATACATTGTAACCAATCTTTAAAATCTGAGATTGCTCTTTATTTTGTTATGACTTATCTGTTGTAGAGGTAATTCTTGCCATCTCTCTAAGATTTGCTTCTTGTACTGATCCTCCTTGTT